TATGCAGCCCTCCAACCTTATCCGTTTTCCCCTGTTCACATCGTCCACAGCCAAGGCTGTGCTGGTGCAGTACCCTGAAGGGACCATGAGCTTATTCAGATGTCCCCAGGGTTTTCTCTGCTATCTAGTCTCTGTTCCAGGACCCGTGATCATGAGAACGGTGTCTCCTACAACCGCCCTTAGCCAGGGCACAAAAACAGCTGGCTGGAGGGAGGCGGGAGCAGGAGCAGGCATCCAGGCTCACTGTCAGCACAGAGGCCCAGGCGGTCCGCGCTGCTGTGATTTCGAACCCGTTACATAGCCAGGCTTTCACACCATCGAGTGTCACAGGCGGGAAGAGGTGGAAGGACCGCGGCTGTGGCTACGCAGGACGCCTTGCCTGGACGCTAATGCGAGAAGCCTTTGCTATCAAATCCCAGATAATCCTTGCTGATGAAGATGAATCCTGATCGCGAGCAGATTTAGGGTTCCAAAGTGACAGTCAGGATGGCCCGTGGCAGAGACGCTCGTGAGCTACTTCTCTGGCCTCACTCGGGGGCGAGCGTGCTGCAGGGGTGTGGATGCAGCATCTGCCCTGGCAGCCTGCGTCTAGCGAACCTCTGGACTCCGGGCGCTCCTCGCCTAGCCTATGGCCGACGGGATCCCACCCATCCCAGGCGGAGGACTAAAGGGAGTGGGCGGGGACCCTCGACTCCAAGGCAGCTGTGAAGTTACAGACTGGACGCAGCCTCGTGTTACTCTGCGCGGCTCAGGCGCCCGCACCCTACAACCTGGTGCCTTAATGTAGCGGATGGACCCCCATCAGCTGACCTGCCCGGGACATCTCAGAGCTAGCTGTCCCGCCTGCTTGCGATCACGTTTAACCGCGGTGTGGCGGTACACGCGTGTAATCCCAACCAGGAGAGGCTGAGGCAGGAGTATTGCAGATCCAGGCCAGTCTAGGCTATGTAGTTAAGCGCTGGCTCAAAAATCAAAAACCAAACAGAAACATTCACCCAGACACATTAGTGGCGCAGAGCCGAACTCGGACGGGTTCTACATCTCCCCCTCTTGGACCTTATTCCGCTGTCCAGGGGAAAATCGCGATAGGGGGAGGGGGATGTACTTGAGCCACTAGTGCCACCCTCGCCCGGAGAAGAGTCCCCATCCTGGCTCAGTGGGACTGGGGAGACAGTGTCTTGATAACCGAATAGGACAAGCACTCCTCGCCAGGGAGCCCACTGACCGCAGAGGGATGGGTATTGGTTTGGCGAGGTAGAGGCATGAGGGGCTGCCACCTGCCTGGGCGCCAATTCTAACAAGTTTTCTCGGTTAGATCTGTGGAAGGATTTTCCGAGGAGAGGGGGGACCTGAGACAAATCATGTCTTCCCGCCTCATTGGGGGCCTCTAATGGCATGGAACACGCGGGGACTAAAGCCGAGCTCGGGTCCGTCCGAGGGTCGTCCCTCCATGAGAGCCTCACGCCTCATGCGGCCATCCAGCGCTGCTCTGCGGTCGCTAGCACTCGTGCGCTTTTGGGTCTGGGTTCGGCTGCACGCCTGTGGTCCCCGGCGGAGTAACGCCGGGACGTGGGCGGGCGGGGACCAGGAGCAGCGCCGGGACCGGGCGCAGCTGGGCGGTGGGGAAGGGGCGGGGTCCCTGGGCGCTGGTCGGGCCCCGCCTCGCACCCTGGTCTCCCATATATATTAAGCACAAAGCTGTTGGGGCCCTCGGTCACCGAGCCCAAAGAGGCCATGGCGGGGTCCGCGCCCCTCGCTCTCACCGGGGGCCGCGTGCGCATCGGGACCGTGATCCCCGCAACACGCCCGCGGGGCTTCGCCATCACTGACCTGCTGGGTCTGGAGGCCGAGGCGCCCGGGGGCCCTGGCCCGGGGTCTGGGCGCGGATGTCCCCGCGCTGCGCTCCCGCCCGGAGTCCCACGCACCTTCTCCGACCTGTCGTCTGCACCCGGCTTCGCGCAGCGCAGCGACAGCGACTCCGCGTCTGGTAGGAGCGACACGCGCGTCCCAGACACGGGTGGGGGATGCGGGAGGCCCCGCCGAGCTCTGCGCCCACCTCTGCCCTTTCGGTCCTGCTCCGGACCCTTGCGGCGCCCGGGTGCGCACGCAAGGAACAGAGGCTGGGCGGGAACTGTCCGCTTCCTGGTGCTGAAAGGAATTCCGAGTCCTCTCCTGGGTCGCCTTTCCTCAGCCCCACCGGGTCCCTGGAGCTGTGCTTGAATTTTCATAACCAGCCATCCGTTACCTCAACGAAGTTCAGGCAAAATGTGGGGAAAGGGAAGGAAGAAATGAGATTCTGTAAAGACTATGGCAAGAAATTGAGAGGGCTGAGTTGTGGAGGAAGAAAGGAGGATTAAAAAAATTATTTATTTATTTATTTATTTATTTATTTATTTATTTGGTACAGGGTCTTACTATGCAGCTCAGACTCTTAGCGACCTTCCTGTTTCAGCTTCCCCAGAGCTGGGATTACAGGCATGTGCCACCACCCCCGGTTTCAGGACCGGCACTCAAGCCTGGTGTTTCTCTGGGCTGACTTGGCATGCAGTACCGGGCATTGAACCCGGATCCTTGCACTTGCCAGGCAGGGACTTAGACCGATGAACTGTCTCCCTAGCCCAAAAGAAAGGGGGGTTACATAAGAAAACACGGCCTTAGTGAAACTGTACCTTAGATGGGGCAAAAAGAGTACATTATATTTCATGGATAATAAAATGAAGCAAGCAGGTTAACAGGCTGCTGAGCACTCAGCCCTAAAAGGACTTTCCTTCATGGGCCTGTTAGACAAAATGAAAAAGTTCATTAGAAATTTAAAGACCAGCTGGGTGCAGTGATGCACCTGCCGGAATCCCAGCAACTCTGGAGACTGAGGCAGGAAGAGGGCAAGGTCAAGACCAGGCAACTTAGCAAGACCTTATCTCAAAGTGAAAACTGGAAAGGGCTGAGGGTGAGGCTGAGTGGTAGATCAGCCCTGGGTTCAACCTCAGGACTGCAAAATATCAGCCAGGGTGGCCTTCACAGGGTGAGTTCCTATGCAGCCCAAAAAAATGAAGGGCAAGAGGCTTCCAAGCCTCAAACCATGAGGAATTTCAGGCAGACACAGATCTGGCCACAGGGCCTTGTGAGATGGGAGGAGACATGCCCGGTGACCTGAAAAGGGAGCACACAGGTACTGAACTACATTTAACACCCAATTTCTATAAATAGCATCATTTACATGCAATCAATATAAATCCATTTTACTTTTGGAGGTGCTAAGTTCCTTAAACCCAGGGACATTTCCATTTGACCATGTCCACATGCCCACCAGCTCTTGTGGCCAATGTCTACCAGGTGAACTGTATTCCAGGGAATGCTATGGCCCAAGCACAGGTTTCCGGTGACCTAGTGAGGTAGAAGCAAAAATTGTATTATTTTGTTCTTGCTGCCTTCATCCATTTCTTCCTATTTTGAGGCCACAGACTTTTAACAACGGCTCTGATAAAAGCTTGGTCTCCTAACCTCCCTTTCCATCTGGACCACCTGATGTAGTGGGTCCACAATGACAAAAGCAAGGAAAGTGGTTCTCACTTTTCTGAGAGCAGCTACAAACCATCTGACACCCATATCTAGAACAAGAACGCAAGCTGGGGAGATAGCTCAGAGGCATAAGCTCCTACCTGGGAAGCACAAGGTCCTGAGTTCGATCCCCAGATGCACATGCCATGCCAGCCCCTGAACCAGGTATGGTGGTGCATGCCTGTAATCTCAGCACTTTGCAGGTTGAGATGGAAGGGTTGCTATGAGTTTGAGATCAGCCTGGGGGCTACAAAAGTGAGCACAAGGCCAGCCCAAACTGCGTAGTGAGCCCATCTCAAAAATAAATACATAAAAAAATAGAAAGTAAAAGAACAAGGGTCTGGATGGTGCCTCAGGCAGGGCTGAATGTGAGAACACAGCCTCTACCCTCCCGGTGAGCAGTGGTGATAGAGAGGGACCAGTGGGATCTTGGGACTAGCACTGAAGCCCTCTGCTTTATTTTCCTCATTTGTAAAAATAAGATAGCAGCAGCTACTTTGCTTTTTCATTCTACAAAACAATGACTGCATCCAGAGATGCTAAAGGCCTCTCTCTTATACTCGCATACATCCCTAACAGTAAAATCAGGACTCCGGTCATCACAGTAAAATGTAGAAGCCAGAAAACATGCGCCACTTAGCATGCATGCTGCTCTTCTGTGCCCACAGATGATGACAGTCTGTCTGAAGACAAGAGTGACCTGATGGTGTCCCCTGGCCTGGGCAAGCGGAAGAAGCGGCGGCACAGGTACAGGCTGCTGCCTTGCTGGCTCTGCCTGCTTCTCCCTGGACACAGTCTGGTACCCTGGGACAAGTACCCAGGAGCTGAGGGACCTGGCTGGGGTGGGACCAGCAGGCTCCTGGTGTGTGTACAAAGGGCACCACAGCTTTGAGTACAGCAGAGAAAATTCTGTATTCCTGGGAGGCTGCAGGCTGATCTTTGTACCAGTTTAACGACAAATTGCAGGCCTGTGAAGTGGGTCTCATCAGAAGGTATTGGTGGGATTCATCAAGAACGAGTTAAGGCTTTGTGTGCAGCTCAGGTGATAGAGTGTGGTCTCAGCGGCCACAGGGCCTGGGGTTCTATCCCCAGCACCAGAGAAAAGAAAGAGAGAGAAAGAGAGATCAATCTCTGCCTCATTTGAACCAAACTCCTGGACCTTCCAGAGGCTGATCACCCCCAGGTGGGGTGTCCAGGTGACATAAAGTATTCTTTAGGTACAGATAGCAGGGCAGCAAGGGGTCCTCAGGCAGGACAGCCCACAGTGTGTTTCCATCCCACAGGACAGTCTTCACTGTTCAGCAGCTGGAAGAGCTGGAGAAGGCTTTTGGAGAGGCCCACTATCCCGATGTGTATGCCCGGGAAATGCTGGCGTTGAAAACCCAGCTCCCGGAAGACCGGATACAGGTGTCTGGGGCCCCCTTCCCCTTTCCAAAGGCCCCAAGAGAGCAGTCACTGTCACACACAGGGAGCCGCTTCTGCACAACCCACTGGGGTTCCCTTCACTGGAAAGCTGAGGGCCCCAAATTTAAAGCACCCATGTGCTTTTATCATTTGTTATTGAATCATTCTCAAAAACCATACAGCGTATGTGCTTCCGTGAGAAACTACATGAAGATACGGCAATACAAAGGCTCTCCACCTTAAGTGCTCCCAAAAACCAACACACGGGGCCACTATTACCCCACCCCTTTGCCCCCGTGCCACACGTGTCCAGCGTTGCATGCTGTGCACATGTGTGCGCACTCGTTCACATGCAAGGAGAACCGTGCTCTTGGGCAGGGAGAACGATGCTTTTGGCAAGCCATTTGCCACAGGGTGCTTCTTCTGCACAACGGCATGATAGTCCACGATGTTCTCCTATTAGCCTATTTCCGTGAGAAAACCAGCAACAGCCCTCAAACAGGCAGCAGAAGCGCCTGGTCCCAGAGGGCGCTTCCCATCCCAGAGGAATAAAAACCGGCCCGCAGCGCAGCTGACCTCTTTACCCTACGCTGGGGCCAGCAAGCGCTTTGCTGTGAGGTTTTCACCTGACTGTCCCCGAGTCTTCAGCGGATGCGAGCGTCCTCATGCCCACACACCTGAATACCTGGGGTTCCGAGGGAAGGGGCGGCTCCGAACGTTCGGGGCTTCCCCTCGCAGGGTGGAGGGTGGTCCTTCCTAGACCCCGAGTTCAGGGACGGGTGTCTGCAGTTCCCAGCGCATGCTCACTGCGTCTCCCGTCGCCCTCCTCCCTCTCCCCTTTCTCCTTTCCCTCTCCCCTTCCGCCGCCCCCATCAGGTCTGGTTCCAGAACCGCAGGGCCAAGTGGCGCAAGCGGGAGAAGCGCTGGGGCGGCAGCAGCCTGATGGCCCAGTACGGGCTGTACGGGGCTCTGGTGCGGCACTGCCTCCCGCTGCCCAGCGCGGTGCTTGGCGGGGCCCAAGGAGGCCCGCGGGGCTGCTGTGCACCCTGGTTGCTGGGTGAGTAGGGGCTGGGGTTTAAGCTGTGGGAATCACCGGGTGGGGACGCAGGGTGTCCGGGTCCTCACCAGGCCGCAGTGGACACAGCAAGCGGCGCCTGTACTCAGGCTAGGCGGACACTCCTATGTCAGGGCGGCTGCTCCGTCACCACCTGTGTGTCCAGGGAGGTTCTTTGGGGCTGTTCTCACTGAAGGTGTGTTTGGGTTGGGAAATAGGGCAATGCAGAGAAAACTTAGCTGGCCAACCCTGCAGGAGTTAGATACCAACCTGGGTTGGGTCTGCCAGACACTCCTGCTACGGAGTCTTTGTTCCTCAACTTTGTGTGCTGAAACAGCTTTTGTTGGTGGCTTACCTGGGATGGCTGCTTTGGGGCCACCTTTACTGCTGCCTGCAGTGTCACAGCTTGGTGGATGATCTTGGGGGGAAGGGAGAGGGGAGGGAGGCTGGAGGAAGTGGGCTAGGGGAACCTCATGTTACTTTTAATTTGGGAAGGAGGAAGGTTGTTTGCTCAGCAAACAGGTCTTGAGCAGGTGCTGGCCAGGAAGATGCAGGAAGTGGAGACACCAGTTCTTAGTGCAGTGTGGACTTTGTCCCAAGATGGGAGTGACCAGAAGGACCCAGGGCAGGGAGCCAGTGAGGTGCTGAATCATGGGTAAAGGGGCTTGTGCTGCACCCACAGGATGAGGCTGTGGGAGAAAGCGGGTCCATCACTGCATCACACAAGCAGAGCAGCCCTGCACAGTGCCACAGCTGGCAGCCACCAGCTTTCCTCCAATGGGCGGGAGTCACCCAGCCACTTGTCCATAGGCCCCAGAATCTTGTGGGCAAGGACAGTTCTGCTAGACACAGAAAACAAAGATGAGGAAGAAGTGTGCTTCATTGGAATTAATAAACATGGCTTTTGATTTTTACTCTTCTCCCTCCCCACTTTTTGGCAAGGTATGGATAAAAAATCCACGGAGATGGTAAGGACACCAGCAAGTGAGGACAAGCTGGCCGGACTCTGGGCCTCCACACACCTTCACAGTGGTTCCCAAGGAGGCTTGGATGCAGTGGGACCTGCGAACTCAGACGTGGCCATGGATCTGTCCAGCTCTGCCCGGCAGGAGACCAGGCAGTCACAGCCAGGGTCAGAGGTTCAAGGATGCTCCAATCCTGAGGGAGTGCAGAGGTTGCAACCAGGAGCAGTGGGAGCCTTATGAGACCCACAGATCCCACCCACAAGGACTGGGGACACTGGTGTTTTTCAAAAGGTGAAAGTGGTCCAGACAAATACCTTTAGTTTAATGGTGCTGAGTGCTGTAATAGGACAGATGGATAATTTGGGGACATTTCCACTTTGTTCTGGAAAACATCCCAGAGGCACTGGGGCCAGGTAATCTGGGGTAAATCTGATTCTGTTTTATAGAACCTGAGAGGGAGGACCTGAAGTTCAGAAGGTGGCCACAGTTGGTGGCACTTGAGATGTGGCTCAGTGTTCCATGTAGATTAGCAGAGCAGATCTGACATCCTCACTCTGAATTAGGAAATGTAAGATTTTTAATTTTATTTTTTTGTATTGGGGATTGAACTCAGGACCTTGAGCTTGCCAGGCAGGTGCTTATGCCACTGAGCTATCTCCCAGCAGGAAATGTAAGTTCTTTAACTTCCACTGAATGCAGTGTTTTTATACAGTGGCAGCTCCATGCAGATACGTGTGTGAATACTAGTGTCTTCTTCAATTTGAGACTGACTTTGGATGTTTCAGCTTGGATTTTGGTAGTGATTGTGTACTAAGGGTGCCAGGTAGGTGTGTGTGTTGGAGCTCATAGTCAGGAAAGAAAGCCTCCCTCTACCCCCACCCAACAGTTTAAGCAGTGAGGTTAAAGTCAGGCTGTTTGAATGCACTTTAATGACCTGAATGTTTCCTTTCCTGCATTTCTTTTGCCTCCTATAATTTAAAAATAGACAGTGTGTGTGTGTGTGTGTGTGTGTGTGTGTGTGTGTGTGCTTTGCAAGGCCCTCCTTCCTTCCAATGCACTTCCATAAGCTCCAGTTGCCTGAGGGGCTCCTCCCTGTCCCTTTCTGGTCTGGGGCATCTGCAGCACCTGTCCTCTGCCGCACTCACCAGGGGTCACCTAGGGAGTGGCTGTTCTTGGCTTGCTTTGTCAGATGGATATCAAGCTAAGTGAGAAGACCAGGTGTACGGGAGGCTGGGCACTCTGGGTGTGAGACCACCACAGCCTCTTATTTTTGTCTGTTTCGATCATTCTGAGCCAATCTTGTGTTGTGGACAGTGTCACCAATCCCTATGCATGGTCAGTGAGTCCCCGTGCTTTTGCTCCTCGGGCTCAGGAGGGCACACTAAGCAGAGCCGGGGCCTCTGATGAGGTGTGGACCCGAAGCCTTCTTCCACCTTCTTGCCAGGATAGCTCGCAGTCAGCTTGAGCCAGCACCTGGCGTCAGCCCTGGGCGTCTGCATCTCCTGGGTCTCTTCAAGCTCTACCCAGGATCCTCCCTGGCCTGAGGTTGCGAGGAGAGCTATTCACACACAGCCACTCCTGGAGCAAAGCCCTGCTCACCTGCAGTGCTAACAGCAGGCTACGAAGAAATGTGTTCACAGCATGCTGCAGAGTGGAAAAAAATCCATAAAGGAAGAAGGATACGAGTAGAATGAAACAGAATGAAAACGAAATAAACACCCTTGATAAATTGGCTAATCATAAAATATATGTACACAACAGTCATGTTTTTGTTATAGTGTTGGGGACTCAGCAGTGTTTTCTAGGGTCTTGCGGCTCTGAACAGAAACTGGTCCCGATAACAGCATAGCTAACGAAGTTTTAAATCCATTAAAGATCTTAGGGGCCGGGGAGATGGCTCAGTAGAATAAGTGCCTGGCAAGCACATGGGCCTGAGCTGGAGTCAGGGAATCCCTTGTTCCGCCCAAAAAAAAAAAAAAAAAAAAAAAAAACCAAAACCAAAAAAACAAAAAACAAAAAACCCTAAAACAAAAAACTTAAAGGTAGGACCTGGAATATAGCTCAGTGGCACAGTGCCTGCCTGGCAAGCTCCAAGTTTGACTTCCAGGATCAAAACACCAAACAAAACAAAGATCTTTTTTTCTTTTGGTGGAACCAGGAATTGAATTCAGGTCCTTGCATTTGCCAGGGAAGCACTTATTCCACTAAGCCATCTCCCCAGCCCCAAACAAAACAAAGATCTTGAAGGTAGAAAGAGAAGCTAGCTCTGCAGAGTGAGCAGGCAGGGTCCTCTTTTGTGTCCTCCACTGCTCAGCGACTCAGTTATTCTTCTCTCATTGCTGAGACAAATGCCCGACACTCAAAAGGAAGGAAAGGTTTATTTATCTCATAGTTACTGGAGGTTTCAGTCCCTACTCTGCTGGCTCCAAGGCCAAGCAGCCCAGGGCAGACAGCAACCTTTAAGGCAGGGCAAAGAGCAAGAGCGAAAAGGGAGGAGTAGCAGCTCAAGCAGCTGGCTTTTCTTCCCCCCATTACATTGAAATGCAAATTACTTGCCCCAGGGCAGGTGCAGCGTCCACACTCAAAATAATCAATCACAAATTCCAGAAGCTTCCCCTAGACTGCATGAGGCTTTGGGGGGACAACTAGACAACATTGGACCTGGAAAACCTGCTTCCCTAAGTCCTCTGGAGAAGAGTGAAGATGGCACAAGGTCCTGGTGCAGCTGCCCAGCCCCTGGGTCTCTCATGGGTTACATCCACTTGCCAGGATTTGGCAAAAGGGAGAAGGGTAGAACAACTAATTTAAACTTTCTTTTTTTTTTTTGAGTCAGGTTCTTGCTATGTTTCCCAGGCAAACCTCAAACTGTTGGGCTCAAACTAATCCTCTTGCCTCAGCTTCCCAAGTGGCATGTGCCACAGTGTCTGATAGCTAAGACTAAGGGTGTAAGAAAACATTTGTCACTAAAATGTTCATTAATATACTTGCAAAATCTACATTCTAGCCCACAGGTCTCCTATGGGGCGGGGGGAGGAATAACAAAAAAAACCCTCCCAAAACCAGCAAAAACAACACTCCTGCAACTAGATACATTTTCTGGAAAATATACACATTACTAACCTTGACTCCAGGAAATATAAATACATGATAGTACCAGATATAAAAGATCAATAACCAAATCTTTTTTTTTTTTTTTTTTCAGAACCAGGGATTGAACTCAGACCCTTGTGCTTGCCAGGGAAGCACTTATTCTACTGGGCCATCTCCCTGGCAAGATCAATAACCAAGAAAAAAATTTTTTTTTTTTTAAAACGTGCTAAATCTAGAGAGTCACATAAAAATTCTTGAAAGTGAAGGAAAAGATCATTTTCTGGTGCACAAGCTATTCGCGCACCTAGCAGAAGTATTTCCACTCCGGACATCACTGACTCCAAAACCCACAAAAGCCCCCACCGCGGTCCCAAACTCCACTTAGCGCCATTAAAGTCAACGTGAAATTATTAAATAACTACTAACGTTTAGAAATCAGCAGTGGGCTTGGCCTTTAGAAGCTCTACGCTACCAAGGTCACCCTCGATCCCCAACCGAGACGTTGGATCCAGCCGTCCCGGCACACTTGGCCACTTAGGAGCAGCCCGTTCCCTACTGAGTAGCCCCGCCCCAGCGAGACTCTTAGCACTTCTCATTTGCCAGACTGGCGGTCACGCTCAGGTGTGTACCAATCGCTAGTCAGAAGGGTGGAACCTCCTTCTGGTTCAGGCCAATCACAATCTAATCCTGGTGCGCGTACGGGCTCAAACTTGCGCGGGGTCGAAGACCAGAGCTGGGACGTAGGAGGCTCGGCGGGCTAGCAAGAGTACGTAGGGGTTACTCCGCGCGCTCGTCTTAGCATCTGGATAAATGGGTACTTAAAAAAAAAAAAGGTTTTGTAAAACTGACATGCCAAAACAAAATAAAATGAGAATGGTTAATTATTTAAATATCGACGCCACGCCCGCAGTGCAGGGTCCAGCAACAGACCGACTCCCTGTGGATCTCAGTCGTCCCCCGTGCGCCCTTGGCGCTCTGAGCGCTGGCCTGGCCGCAGGGGGTTGTGGGAGCTCACGGGGAGCGGGGCCTGCGTGCACAGGGCCCGCTGGGGCGGGGCTACAGAGACCTGGGCGGGAGTGGTTGGTCCCCGCCCACTCTGGCAGCGCCTGGGCGAGCGCAAACGGGCCCTGGCTGGGTTTGCGGGACCCTGGCTCGTCGCGGCCAGGAGCGGCCCAGAGAAACTAGGGAGCTTGGCAAGGGTGCGGGCCACTGAGGCCCGCAGAACTAAGAGGCTGTGAGAACAGCGCGGGGAGCCATGGCCACAGCTGTGGGAAGCTTCTCAGGGGAAGGCAAGGCTGGCAGGCAGGGGTGTGTGTGTGTGTGTGTGTGTGTGTGTGTGTGTGTGTGTGTGACTTGCCAGATTGCTGGGATAACTGCATGATAGGACAAGGTCTCATCAGTTCTTCACACCCCAGTGATGGACAGCAAGTGCAAACTCAACACTGCGAAACCTTGGGATGTTTTGGGCTAGACGGTGCTTCGGTAGGCTCAGCACTGTGACAAAAAACAGTCTAGAAAGTCTGCTCCAGCCTCCTCTTGATCTCGAGGAGTCCACATTTGTAACCCCAGGGAAAAGCTATGTGAATTCCAATAAGTAATTGCAATCTACCACTTCCAGTGCAACCCACAGTGAGAAAAAAGGAGACAAACACACCTCTATAGTTATGGGCAGCCAAGGGGGTCCTAAGTTCAGTTGGAACAATGACTAACCACAACAAAGGCCTAGGCACGGCAGAATCCTGGTTTTATTGATTTGTGGAGAGGGTAGTCACTTTGGGAGAGTGACTGAGGATAGTGGGAAGTACAGAAGGGCAGAGAGCCTAATTGGGAGGAATCTTCATATCAGTTTGCAGAAGTTTTTTTTTTTTTTTTTTTTTTTTGTGTGTGTGTGTGTCTGTGTGTGTATATAAGTGCTTTAGTTTTGGTGTGTGACCTTCACGGCCTGAGACATCACAGCCTCAGGGCTCAGTCCCAGCCCACAGTGTAGTTTGGGACTCTCAGCTTAGCTGACCCTTAGTAGGTGAGGGCTATAGGTAGGGTATCACTGACCTGCTCGCATTGCTTCAAAGTCTGCACATCAGGGCATTTGCATTGCTTAAAGCCAACTGAGGGAGTAAAGTAATATCTTAGCCAGCTCTGCACATATCAAT